ATCAAGGGAACTACTACACAGGAGAACAATCACTAATCAGCCAAAGAAGAAAAAATGAGGTTTCGGGGTACGTAATACAGAGTTTGATCACACGTACCTGTCTGGCAAGGAATGTCATAGAGGATCGATTGACCCAAGCATAGTTGGCCGCCGCAGCCATTGCTTTGAGATAGTCCTGACCCTCTGGGGAGTCCACATGAGCACAAGCTAACTGGCGATCGTTTACCTCAATTTTGTCCCGTTTCATTGCGCGTTCCATGGCAACCAGAGCATCCGTTGCGACCTGTGCAGAAAACATGATTCATTTGAATGTGGAAATAGTTACAACTGAATGGTAGCACTGAGCAGCTCTGAACATGGATGGGATTAATCACTGAGCTAATGCATTGTTCACGTCTAGCTTACTTGGTGTCCCATTCCTCGACTGCCACAATGAATCATCAGTACGACTTGATTGAGCTGATCAATACCCATTTTTGTCGCGGCATGACGATCGAAAATCTCCTCCACAACTTGAATCTCGGCATAGTGATTTCCAGCACCCAGAGTCCCCAACTGGGGAAGACCACGCTTTTTGGCACGTGAGGAAACCTTGTTCGGATCAGCTTGAAGCATGCGACCATACTCCTCGCAATGTTCTTTATCATCAGCCCAGACGTATCCTGTAAACAAAGAAAAAAAGCCCATTCAGCACTGGGACAGTGAAATCGTCAGCCTGTATGAGAGGATGAGAGAGAGATTTCGATGTACATATTTTATTCTACGGTTGGTTCTGCCCATGAATGCGTCACCGCAACTGCAGGTGAACTGGTATACAGTGTATGAGACAGAAGTGGATTGCCAACCATGTGCACGTTTGTTCAAGTGAATTCCACGAGTAGAGACAATAAGTAGAGGCTGAGCAGCTGGGAATTTGCGCGCATCGTTCAGAAGCAGATCGTCCTTAAAAGATAGTTTGATGTAAACGGCTTTCTGGGGAACAGTTAGGGATGGGTTACCTTCTTGGGATTATNTGGGATTATTTACTACGAATATCAATGAATCTTTTCAAGTATGCCATCCACTTTTATTAGGTTTCTCAGCGAATTCTGATGGAATGGATCAAAAGCAACACTTGTAAAGAGGTTCAAAGATCTAATGGAGATTAATTATCTGAACAACACAGCCCCTGCCACGGTAGAAGCCGCTTTGGCTTACAAAAGTGCATTGCTTTTACGGAAAGTGAACAAGTTCCAACGGAATGATGGGAATCGATCACCTCACCGATTTACAAAAAAAGTGACAGATTCCTTGGAGGAGACCAGGGAGGGATTAGTACGACTACGACTTTTTAAAGCTTTAAAGCTGCGTTGACTGTCTGCCGCANTGCTAGCGTGAAAACCAGACTAGTTTTTCACCTGATCGAGGCTGCATAGACCGCATTTTAACTCTCCGAAAAATTGCAGAACATAGACATTCCGTTCGTGGACCCACAATTTCTATTTTCCTTGATCTCTGGGTGGCTTTCTACTCAACTGATCGCTCTAAATTCTTGCATGGCCCAGAGAGTTACCTCCAGCCGAAGGTGAGTTCGAGCTTACGGCACCGTTTTATCCGAGTTCAACGAAGAAAGCGGTGTTCGTTATAGTAGCTATCTCTCCTTTTTTTATTTAATTTTGTGCTGGATTTGATTTTGGAAACAGATCGGTACTCGCGTGGGGATAAAGACACTGATTTTCTCCCATCGGGCAGGTTGCCTGATTTAGCGTACACAGATAAAATTTTATATTGCTGAATGAAGGTACAGGTTAGTTACTGACTTTTCTGAGCGGTTTGACGTAGGTATGTTGGGTATGCGTTTTTTCACCTTCGGGTGTCAAATTATTTTACAGAACTGGATTGGGTCAGCTCCTAACCTCAACAATAGACAAATGTTGTTAGCTGGTGAGCTACAACTCACTTGCCGGAAGAATCACGGGTGATGTTCCGGCACAGAGAGAGACAGAAGGCTCAGTTGGCGTTTGCCAACCTGAAACACTGTTGGCTCCGCAACGATATTAGATTATCTATGACGGGTCGATCAGATGTCGTAGCGATCTGGTCACTTTCAGTGCATGGTGCAGAAACTAAGATGACTGACGCCCATGACACCGAATAAACTGCCTCGGCATTGTGGCAGTTTTCGGGACGAATGGTGGTTGGAAGATGGCTTAGGATGGTCAAACTCACACTTGACATGAGAGTGTAAAAGCCCTTCCAAGGAGACTGGGATATGCAGGTTGCGATAGGCTCCCTGAATGGGAATCCCATGATCAGCATAATCGATCGTTAGGGAAACTGATTGCCGTCAATAATGGCACTTTTGTATGTGCTCGATTTCTTCGCAACCTAAGTTTATGTTAATCCCCTAAATTCACAATGATTCGACCTGCAGCTTTCAAAGTATTCTCTATTTTTCTTCATGTAACCGGAAAGTCAAAAGACCAACAAAAATTGTCGCACGAAGGTGCAAAGTTCATGGCGGCATGAACCGAACTGTTGAAGATGCATAAGGTATGAGTGAAGCCATTCACGAAGGTGACGATTAGTTTATTCTGAATTAATAGGCAGCTTGGCTGTCATCCGGTTCAATACCAAACATAACCTATCGGGGCCTTATGTGGTGCACCACTCCAAGTCCCGGGGCTTAGGATACCGGTTTCTTTCACTGAACAGCAGGTCCTCGTGGCTATGGGGCTTCCCCCGTCTGCTGTTCATCACACGGGGGTGTACTTTTTTAAAAATGTTGTACGCCGCGTATTGCACTGTAAAGCACAGTTTAGCTGGCTTTCCAGGAAGTTCTACCCTCTGAATAGGCGATCGACAAAGAAATCCAAGGTCCATTAGGTCCCAGAGAAACGCTTCCATGGGAAATTCATTTTTGTTCCCATCTTTAAGAAGTTTGTTCAATGACCGCTTCAATCATAGGATTACAAGCCTATTTCTAATAGCGTCAAATATGCTAGCGTTTGTACCTCTTCACAGACTGCACACTACGCATGAAGAGTGAACAAGTCAGGACTAGACTGAAGTTCAAACCAGTCGTGGATGTATCAATCAAATCTTCATCCTTTGACACCTTTTAAAGCACCGTTGGTTTTTGAAAAACCAACAGTCATTCTAAAACATCCCACAGTCTTCAATTTCATCGATAGAACCATACAACGGATCACTTATTGGCAAACGAAGCACCTGAGAATAAGGGTCTATCGTCTAAAATTTGTACTCTCATAATTCAGGCCAGGTTAGCGCGTATGGTCAGCTTTCACCGTTCTTTACCGTCTCCAGTCGAGCGCGACTAAGCGTCGGTATTTAACCATTTCCTTTTAATTTTTCCCATGAAATATATTTTACAGAACGCTTTCTTTGGTCCAGAATACGGTTGAGTCTAAATTCCTCAAGAGAACAGCTTTTATCTAGAACATGCTGATGATATCGCCTTACTGAGCGACAACACATATCTAGTCCGATGCGCTCTGAACCGCTTGGCGATCCCGATATCATATGTGCTTTGCACCATGCAAACTGGTTGTACAAGACTGGCAAAAGCCTGTACCGATATTCACCTTTTTAGGCGATCAGCCAAAAACAGTCGAGTGCTTCAAGTACGGTTTGCCTGCCCAGCCGCCGTTCCCCGTGAAAACCAAACAAGAAAAACGCAAAACGTTTAGAGTGAATCAAACAACACAAAATTCTTGTTTTGTGTGAACTGGTGAGTTTTCACCACCTGCACTCCATATCCGCATATTCATTTTCAACGCGGTTGCGTTGAGACTATGCTTTTTTCCAAGCCGGTGTAATACACACAATTTTTCTCAGAACAGTTTTATGTGGCCCTTGTTTAGCTAATGCGTTGACCAAAGTCTTCCACGCGTTTCCCTTTGCTACTGTTACTGTTACCACGAATCTCATACAATTCTTTCACTGGAAACCTTTCGGCATGCAGTTCAGTTTCAGTTTTTACAACCAATAACCATGCACTTTCGTGCGCCGGTTTCGGTTGCTGTCTTTTCATTGTCCATTTGGATAAAAGAGGAAAATGTAGATTGGAATGGCGAAGCAAATTCAAGCGGAAGATGGGGAATTCATATAGTGCGGTGTTAGGAGATTAACGAGTGGATGCACAAGCGTCACTGGTTGCGACACCCAGCCATATCACTCAGTGTAGCTAACCATCGGTTACGAGGTCCCCAGCCAGGGAGCCTAACGGGGCCTATGTGACCTAGTCTCCTGGTTAGGATTTTCATACTCTCATGCCAGGTCTTAGCTTGACAACCCTTTATCTTTTTCCAATCGCTACCAGCCTTAGCAAACATCGTTCACCGCGGCAACCTATCTGGTGACACACGTAACACATGCCCCAACCAGCGTAATCTATGGAGGTCGATCACTTGCTCTAGCGGACGACCGCGACTGCCTAAAACTCTAAGCCTAACCTCAGCATTCCTAGTACGGTTACCCCACCAGACACGTGCAATGCTACGTAGACAGCGGTGTTCGAACACCGACAATCTATCTTTATCCTGTTCCCTTAATGGCCAAGTCTCTGTACCATAAAGCAGGACTGGCCGAACTGCTGAAGCATACACTCGACCCTTCACAAACAGCTGGATGTCGCGACGGCGCCACAAATGTCTCAAGTTGCCAAATGCCAATCGAGCCTTTTGTATGTGCGCCGACACTTCATCTGCGATGCGTCCACCGGGTGAGATATAGCTACCCAGATAGCAAAATTTGTCTACCTCCTCCACTACTTCCCCAGTTAGGGTGAGACTGAGTGCTGGATCAACCCAATCTTCTAGTAGCATTCTACACTTTGAAGGTGCAAAACGCATACCGAACATGGTTACACTAGCACTCAAACTATCCAGAAAAGCTTGCAACTTACCTGGATCTTCACTTAGTAGCACAATGTCGTCTGCATACTCTAGACCAGTCTGCTACTAAGTGAAGATCCAGGTAAGTTGCAAGCTTTTCTGGA